CCCCAAAACCCCAAAACCCCATAGCTAAATAATTGATGTTTTCTAGATTATGGCTGAAAATAATTTTATTTGTATTATAGTAGCATTCATTTAATTAAACCTACAGATTTGACCACTTTAATTTGAGATAATTATAATCCTTTATCGCTGCCTGATTTTAGGTATATCCATAAACCTTTGGCCTTTACTCCGAATTCATTAACTTCAAATAATCTATTTTAGAATCTTTCATCAAACATCAAGTTATCTTTCTTAACTACTTCTTCATAATTGAGATCTTTCATTAATTAAATTTCAATAATCACGGGATCCATTTCAGGGCAATCATCAGCGCTTTTAATCCCTACAACATTAAATTCAATTTCCTCTTCAAAGTTTATGATAATGGTAGCTTCGTTAGACCCCTCGATTCTCCATTTACCCTCTTTTTGAATCAAATTTTGAACAGGAAAATCTTCTATTTAAAGTATTTCACCCTCAATTAAAATTGAAATGGTTCCTTCGATATTAATATCTCCATCTTCATACTTCTTTTCTAAATCCTTGGCACTTTAATTCTAAGCTTTCAATTCTAGCTCTAATTTCCTAATTTCATTTTAAGCTTCTTGCTGGTCCTATAACTGAACTTAGATTCTTATAACCTGTTTTAGGAGCCATTCAAGTTAAAATTTTGTAACTTGGCCTGTTGAATCAGTATCCGATCTCTCAAAGTAATTTTCTATTTGTATTTCATCAACAGGGTATTGAATCTTTTAAAATACGTTTCTCATAAAATTTTTGAATTCTTATTTATCCAAGTAACCGTTTTTGTTGACATCATAATAATTCCACAATTCAATGAAGACATTTTTTATTTTTTCAACAACATCCTTATCAAACTCTTTAAAATTTATATCCTTGAATTATTCCTCTGATTTTGATAAAGCAGGCTTGTCAAAATCGTCATCACTTTCCTGATCAAATTTCGGTATCACCAATTCAATTTATTATACTGGTAACTTCCAATCTATATCTAATATTTCATCATCCATCTGCAATTTTAAATAGTAACTAGGCAATTTATCTAGAGACTAAACAGGCACAAGTATTGACCCCTCAACTAAGTAATCTTGAACTTGCTAAGCTTCTCTAAAAAGCATAATTTCTATATTTGTTAACTCTTCTGCATCTGAGAGGTCTAAAGTGGCAGCGTATGTTGCTATAAGCTTATTAAAGTTCTTTTAAAAGGGTATCTAAGCATTTGAAAGAGGTACTTCTCCGAATTTTTCCTCAGAACCAATCCCTTTGTAATGAATAAATCTACACACTGGCCCGACATTGCTATTTCCATGTCTAATATAAACATGATAGACACCAGGTGGGATCTTTTGCATGATCCACTTTGGAGCAAACCACCAGACACCTTAACAACGATAAACCTTTTTACCAAAGAGGTTATTTGATATCTAATTTAGATTCCAAAATTCTGTCTATTACTTATAAGCCCAATCAAACTCTAAAGCTGCTGTGGCAAAATAAATTATTCCCTCTGAAGAATATAATCTGTATGTAGATTTAGTACCTTTGATTGGATCTAGATAGTTCTTGGCACATAAAGAATCAAAATCTTTGTCCCTTAAGACACCTTCTTAGATTAATTTTTAATCTTCAAACATTAATCTATTTACTATCTATCAAATATTTCAAACTTTGACATTTATTATCTATGGGGTTTTGGGGTTTTGGGGTTTTGGGGTTTTGGGG